GGCGAGAAGGGCCAGTACACCCACAAGATTTACCACATACACAGGTGAGAATGAATGCGTGTGGATGGGCTTTGATCACTGGAAGGGTGAAGCTGCTTTTTGAGCTTATCAGCGAGATAAGATTGTGTTCGCAGAATTTCTGCCAGTGCTACTTGCTGATGTTCTGGTTAAGTGTTGTGAAATATATATATATTTCTTTTTTTCAAAGGGATTGTTCAATAAAAAATGAAAAATCTGCCGTCTTTTAGTCCAGGGGTTTTCAACTGGTTTAGCCATGGGACACACATTTTTACATGGTCATCAAGCGTGTGACGCAAATTTTTAGGAACTATAATACAATTTCATAGATATATACATTAGATGTCGCCTACCCTGTTATTGTCTATTGGAAGGAATGCGTCAATAGAGCCGACATTTTACTACAGGGTAGCGCTCCATTGAAATGAATGCGGGACCAAGGTACAGTGGTGGACTGTGGCCATCCAAAGCCAGAGATATACACATATACACATATATATATATATATATATATATATATATATATATATATATATATATATATATATATATATATATATATATATATATATATATATATATATATATATATAATCGGGAGTTTTCCTGAATGTTAGTATGCAATTTTTTTTTTCAATTACGAAAATGATCATTTTACTTCACTTTTCTACATTGATGGATCAGTGATCGCTCAGGCAATCCTGATAAAAAGCTTGTGTTTGTGTGTATGGACATGTACTATCCACCCTCCCTGTTAAATTTGATGTAATTGGTGTCCTGAAACTCACCTCCTCTCCTGCTTTCATTTCTCATACTGACGGAGGGAGCGACTCGTTTGTGAATGAATCTCCGTTATGAACGACTCGTTCACTAGCTGACAATAATACAAGTTTCTGGCAGCGCAGCATCTCGTTGTCATATTTATTTTGCATTGTTTGCTGATTTTATTCAACAAAACTAGCATAAGCCGAGTATTTAGTGCGAGTTGGAGCTACTTTGCCTTATGGTGAATGCAGTAAGTGACTGCATTATCATCAATAACGCTACTGTTTAGCACAAAAGTTCAGAACATACAAAAACGTAAAAAACTTAATCTTACCTATGAAATGTTCTGCCTTTGTGCTTCGTTTTCTTTGTTTGCTCGTTACTACACCCGTAGACAGCGCTAAAGTCCCGCATCGTCACGTAATAACACTGTCTTGTCTAGTGCGGTTGAATGACATTTGTCCTGGGAGCACTGTAGCAATGTGGCGGCACTATTGACGCATGCTCAGGGTCCCTATGCAATATCTAGTGTATATATGAGACAATTTTAGGAACTATAATAAATTTGTATTTATTTGTTAACATACACAAGTAGTGACAGATAAATCATAAGACGTTCACCAAGACTTACAAATAAACAATATTGTATTGCTGTCATTTAAAAAAAATGGATCAAATTATTCAAATATTACAAAGTAAAAACGACAAATACTGTAAACAGAAAGGTTTCTATGAACTAAACTGAACTCTTAATAAAACATGTTGTCTGGTTTCTAAATGTCGTTTTAATTTAGAAGGTTTCATGCCGTCTTATGGGAGCACCTCACTACATATGACACTGAGGCTTTAAGTCTTTTTTTGTCGTCAATATATGTAAATCTAAACTTTACATATTCAGGGTCTTACTTGCGCTTTGACATATTTTTTGCCATAATAAATACATTTCACATGTCAAACAGTAGGGTTGTCACACACAAATTTCAAAATAGAAGTCTAGTATAAGCAAAATAAGTAAAAAATTAAACATTTGGTTTTTTTTTGACCACGCACTCCGCGACCCACCAGTTGAGAAACACTGTTTTAGTCATCCGTAGCTTTTTCAAAACCAATATGACTTCCTTTTATTGAAAACAAAAGAAGATATTTCGAGGAATGCTGGTTGCTGGCACCTGTTGACTTCAATAGTAGTTTCTTATTGTGGAAGTTGATGAGTTTCAGAAAAATATCGAACAAACGATATTTTGATATAATGATATAACATAAGAAACAAACTCATAAAGGGTTAAAAGCACTCAAAGGAGAGTTAATTATGTGTTAATTTCCCTTTTTGGGTGAACTACACCTTTAATTTAAACAAGTTGATCAATTTTAAAAAGTAAAGCCTTTAACATGAACCAAAATATCTGTGTTTCATATGGACGCTGTTATTTTGTTGTAGAATACTTATTAAAGCATGTCAGGTTCACAAAAACATTAAGAGGCAGAGTTTTATTCAGTGTTGATGATAATATTTGGAGAGCACCACATCAGTGTGTTATTTTTTTACATTTATTTAGAACATAAAAGAAGAGAAAAAAGAAGAAAAAAAACAAAGCAAAAAAACAAAAACAAGCGGTTGTCAAAAGGGTTACAAAGTCAAGTCACAATACATTTGAAGCACATTATCACTTAAAATCATGATTTCTAAAGAGTCACATGGAACTAAAGACATTTCATTTTAAACATTTGTCATGCCAATAAAGCAATTATTGAATTAAATCAAGAGAGAGAGTATTCTTCTAGCGGCACAATACATTAACGCCTGTCACAAAAAGAGAGAGGGGGTGATCTAGATGATTATAACTGAATCATTGTAAATATACTGATTATTATTGTTTTATTACTGTTTTATCCTAAAATTTTGATTGTTAAATGTACAGTTCATTCTTATCTATTATAATTTTTTTATTGATTTGTATGAATAATTTGATACATTGAATAATAATATGATATAATGAATAATATGGTGTTTATATTTTATTTTATTATAATATATAAATATTTTTTTACTACCACTATTTACTGTGCTTACTGTGTTTTTATTATATATGTATGTTACTTTCTTATGTAAACTTTGTAAATGCTTTGGCAATTCATCTGTAACATTTATCATGCCAGTAAAGCAATTATTAAGTTGAATTGAATTGATTTGAGAGAGAGGAGAAGGGATAAAGAGAGAGAGGAAAGAATATAATTTAAAATCTCTTTATTACAAAATACAAAAAAAAAAAAAAAAAACGGATATACAACATATTTTATAACCCACAAAATTGCAAAAATTAAAACACAATGATAATAAATGTGTGAAGAGTATTTCTCCTTCAAAAACAGAGCAAATACACCTTTGATACACCAGTTCCATTCAACAAACAGATTATGATTATTTACTCGCTTGTAAAAATTTAATTCAACTAAAACTCTAGATTTTACAAGGGCCACAACGTTTTGCCCTGACAATTGTTCAATCTCATTTTTCTGCTCCTATGTATCGCTAATTTGGCTTGACCCAAAATAAAATTCAACAGTTGACATTTATAACATGTCCTCTTTACAGAAAGACAAAGAGATTTTTATTATAAATGAATCATTGTAAATATACTAATTATTTTTATTTATTATTACTGTTTTATCCATAAATGTTTGCTAAATGTTAAGTTTATTCTGATTCATTTTTTTTGTATTTTTCATTTATTATTGTTTTTTTTTTTTACAGCTACTACTATTGACAGTGTTTACAGTTTTTTAAGTATATGTATGTTACTTTTAATGTAAACTTTGTATATGCTTTGGCAGTACATTTGTTATGCCAATAAAGCAGTTTTTAAATTGAAATTAAAGTAAATTAAATTAAAACTAAAGACTGGTAAAGATGCTGAGAATTCTGCTTTTGTGATCGTGGGAATAAAGTGTATTACACAATTTATTTTCACATAATTTTTAAAAGTGTTTTAAGTGTTTTTGTTGTAACTTTGTTTTCTCTTATATAAATAGAGAGGAAAAGGATCTTCTTTCAAAAGATTTGAACATGTTTTAATGGCCTCAAATTTGTTATTTGTAGTCAAACATCTTGTCACTTTTTATGTTTCACTTTCTAAAAATAATATATTTGACTAATGATTTATTTGAGAATATATGCAATAATAATAATAAAAAAGCATGTTTTAGCATCGAGTGTTTAGTTTTTTAAAAGCTCGTAGTAACATTGAATTTTAGTGAATTTTTTTTATTGTTTAAACTGAATAATAATGAAAGAGATTTTTAGTGATTCATTTAAGATGTATAATTTTGTATGATTCTATTTAAAGTTTATTTTAAAATAAAAATGATTTTAGATTTATACTTCTATTTTTTATTTAGATTGAAACGTTTAATGAATTTTTTACTATAATAGCACTGCTCTGTTCTTAAAGCTTTATTGTGCATTCATGTTGTATTTTTTGAGAAATGTGTTTTATAATTCTTGCCAATATTTTTATTTTTGTTTTTTTCCACTCTTTCATTACTCAGTTAATTATGACTATTGAGTTGACATTGTGTTCAATGTATTATTTTTTTGTTTAATTATTCTAATGAGTCATATAGGCATGGGCTGGTATACGTTTCCGACAGTATGATAACCTCATATAAAAGGCATCATGGTATTGTGATTACTGCTCTAAAAAGACCTTCTTTTTAAATGTCTGGGTAAAAAAAACATTAATCAGTAAACATGTCAGGCTAAACAAAATCATTGGCTTCTGCTTTCTTCATTAGTTTCTAAAACATATTTCTTTAGAACACATTAAAAAAAAGCCCTTGCATATACCTAAGGCGCGGAATAAAAGAAGATTTTAGCTGTTTTAAAATCTTGACTTTTTCTAACTGCGGTAAACCTTGAAGCGTTTATCGTCCAATGCATAGAGCAGGAGTACCCAAACTTTTTTATATGAAGGGCCAAAAACCAAATATCATTGATAGCCGTGGGCCAAAGATAAATATTTAATTATTAACAATAGATAACTATTTAACATTAAAGTTGCCATAGGTAATTTCCTAATTCATAATATTTTTTTATAATATTAACAAATAAACAGAAAACTTTACTTTGAATCATTTTAACTTATGCAGTATTACTTTTTAAATTATAAATGATTAAAAAACAAAGAATCATATTTATAACACAGTAGAGTTCAATGTTA